ATGAAACATGAAACCATTTCTGTCAAAACTAGAAGCTTTGGCGTTATCACCATTGTTAAAAGCAATCCAAAAAAAAAATACTATTTAAGGCTAATTTTGCTGCCCTTTTGAAGTGACTTTTGAAACCATTAAAAAAAAAAAAAAGCCCAGACAATAAGCTGAATGGGAAGGACCTCTTTGGCAGTCAGTGTCAAATTACGCTGTCCCCTGTCTGTGGATAAAACAGAGAATTGTGCTCTTCAGGGCTGCCAACCCCTTACTTGACAACCACTACAAAATTTAACAATAAATGGAACTGACAACCTACTTCACCAGATTGGGAACACATCTGAACTTGCGCAGAGAGACAGCTGGACTTGAGTTCATTTCCCTAGAGGCTGGGAAACAGCAATACCTAATGAAAACAGTGATGGGCACATATTTATTTCCAAGGCATTTGTAGCCTGAGCTCTGGTTCCTGTCTTACTGCAGACCCAAGATCAATTTTCACATCTCTTCACTAAATGGATGGGATGTGAAATTACTCCTATTGACAATAAGCATTCTCAAGGGCTCTAGTAATTGCGTAGCCCCGCAAAGCAGAAAAGAGGCACTAACAAAAGCACACAGACAATTGGTTACCATCAATTTCCTCTGGTGCTGGCAGATGTGAATATAACCGCAGGTTGCATTGAGATCTTGGGTAAAGCCCATCCCCTCTCCTCCAATCCAACCAGCAGAGTACAGCCAGCAGGTGATTTCTCCAACAATCTGGAAAGTCTGTGGCACTAAATCGAACCACAGCCAGGATTTATGGACTGACAAAACATGGGCCTAACCTTTTGCCTGGTGATTTCTGCATATGAATCAACTCCTCCCATCTTTTATTGGGCCCCCATTTGTGAGATGGGGACCGAGTAACCTCCTTAACAGAGGACCATAGTGGACAGCTCCCTTTCCATTTCTATCTTTCTTGACCTATGTGGGATGCTTGGATGGAAGTAACCCCTGACTCAGCCTTCTGACTGGTTTTGTCTTCAAGGAACCGGCTTATATAACAGGGACAAACAATGAAGACAAAAGCAAGTTCACTGTTGAGGTGAGCTAGGACCCAGACAGAGAGCCCAATGGGGCCTGTAAGGGAGCTCTGTCTCCAGATCT